GTGCATTGTATTTACGTATAGGTCAATCAGATAGAGCAATCAGGGCAAAAGGACTAATTTATGCAATACAGAAAAGTGAAAAATATAGATAGTCCAATTATTTATTGTGCAGTATTTCGAAGGTACGATGGTATGATGGTCAAATAAACATACAGCGATAAAAGCCGGTACGAAACGTCGCGTTTTAGAGATGAACGTATAATTATTAATGTCATTTTAATTAGTAAAGTGTGTAGGCCCAAACTCGACGCGATCAGATTAATTTTTGATATTTACATTCCAATTATTTTCGTTTGCAATGACCATAACTCAGTTATTACTTATGCGAAAGGAGAAGGCAAACATGAATACTTTTAGTTGTTTCCCATTCTCTTGCAAATTAAAAATATAAGTATGTATATATCTAGTTATACTAATACATATTATATTAAAGAGGTAAACTTTGAAAGTTTGTAAATTTGGTTGTAGAAGGTAAACTTTGAAACTACTAATCCGACTTCAAAAATTGTTTCACTTTAACATAACTGCTGCTTAATACTAATAAGAGGTGGTAGGTGTCATCATTTTAAATGTAACCCCAAACCAAAAGATGAAGAGACTATAAAGCTGTAAAATTTGTCTGAAGGGATTTAGACATATTTATGTTGATTACAGAAACGTAAAGAACGATGTTCGACCGTTTTCGCTTTGTTGGCTTACTACAGACCTACAGACTATCTCATATCTACATGCGGTATATGTAAGTCACGTATCATGCAGGATCGGGTAGGTAAACAAGAAAAGCGCAGTTTGATTTAAATTTTCTGACATTGTTCATTAATATTGCTTGTTAATATGCATAAATGATAAAATCTACGGTTCGTTCACCCAAAATTGCGCGGTCGCACCGCGTAAGTATACGAGAGATATATGTATACCTACAAGATGATTCCGATTTCGTCAAGAAGCAGCGAAGCAGCTAAAAGAGTCGCGACGCAGCGGCAACAACGAACGGCATTGACAGTGGCAATGAGGATCGGACAACCAGGTCCATGTCCGATTATTAATTAACATGTTGTAAAAGCAGAAACGACAAACTCGACAGTGCAACGTTGTCGTACACATGTATACATAGGGGCATATTTTTTTTCTTTGTCATATATCCTAATTGTACTAATAAATATTATAAATACCTGGCTGATGTGAATATCAGTATGTTGGTATGACGGTCAATTTATTAAAACTAGATAGATCCTTAGCGAGCGTGAATCATTAAAGGAAAACTGTGAAATTATTTTTCGCTATTTTTATACGGTCCTGCATTGTCTTATTTTTACCTGTAATTCTTAAAAAAAAAATATTAATTTAAGGTAATCCACTCGAAATTTCGTTTACTGTGAAACCACAATAATTTTTTACTTTTTTCACATTTCTATAAACAAAAGAAGTACACGACAAAAACAATACTTCGTTCGTGTTGTCTATTCTTACTGTAATTTAACCTAATTTTCACAATGATTTTATTGAGTGTTGTAATTGCTGTGTACTTTAAAGTAACTACATTTTCAATGAGACAAAGCGGGACAAATGGGATGAACTGAGAATTAAAATTTAGTTATATATATTTTACTGTATATCGATGGAGTCACGACAAAAAGGCGTAAGCGCCAAACAATCAAAAACAAGATTTTAATGTCAATTTAAGTAAAGTAACCCAGCTAATCATCTAATATAACGGCTGCAAGCGATAAAAATTTCCTTCGTCAATAAATTGAGCTAAAATTTTTGTAAGCGGCAATTTCATTCTAAGAAAAATCGAGGTTAAACAGCATTAAGCACCACGTTTTCATACAGAGAGGTTAGCCTTACGCTCATTGTCGAGACGTCGANTTTTTTAAAATTTCAATAACTTTTTAACGGTTTAGTGAATCGATTTGTAATTTTTACAGGAGTTTTAGAATTGAATGAGGAACGTTCTTCCAAATTTTTATTTGTCTCGTAGCATTTTGACATACCTCCCAAACATCCTTAAATCAAAAAGCGAGATGCAACTTTGTAGTTTGACACTGTTCTACTTTCAAAATTAAAATCGCAAGATTCAGAGAGCATAATGATTAACTATCTCGAAATGGTGAGGAAAACTTTAAGTCGTTATTGTGGAAAATAATAGATTACACACCACGGGACAAAGCAGTAAACGAGGTTGTTTCGGCAAAGATGAAATAAAAACTATTTATTCGATAGCCTCAGGCCCCTACTCAAAGGGGGGATGCTTCCCCACAATATTTGTTTGACTTTTCCAATTAATTGAGAAATATGTTAAAAATAGTATTCTTTCATAATTTTATGTAAAAACGCCTGTAGGGAAAAGTGCTTGAGAAACTCAAAGAGCATTCGGGTTGTAATAAAATTACATAAAAGTAATATCGGTCCTTCGTTCGGTGTTCACTGAACTCCTGCAGGTGACAGAAATTACCATTTTACAGTACCGTCAAGAAATCGAACTTCTGGTCAATATTTCAAGTCAAATACCCCATGGTAAGTCGGCTACTAGAAGCACTTTATCGCATACACTGGTACATCAATAGGAATAATTCGTAAATCTATTCTGGAACGCAAAAATACCAAGATTTTTGTTTTAATAAAAAGCAAGCGCCTTATAAAAACGGCATACCTGTATGTATTTAATTAAAACAATATTAAATAACAAAAGGAAAGCAAGACTTGAACATTGTATACGCAATTGATAACTGTGAGTCCAATGCAGCAAGCGTCGATATAAATATGTTTTATAGAAAAGAAGCGTTTAAGATAAAATTACAAACTTTTTACAAGATGAACTCAAAATGGTTATAGAACGTTTGAATCCAATATCAAACATTCTCACAAATCTTTTACACAAAAAGAATATTACAAGCGAAAATACTGAAAAATTGACTCATTGCCAGTGATATAAGCGCTTCTTACGCGGTTAGAGATATTATTTGATGTAAAGCATCATGAAGGTACCTGCTAAATATAAAATAGCTATTGGGAAAGCTTTTCGACTTTGTCAGCTAATATTTACAGCGAGTTTTTCGGTGGCTTCAAACGAAAAAAGTTTACTTAAAACAGTTAATCGAGTTCGATTCCCGGCGAGGGTGTAATAGCAGCAGCAAAAAAAAATCCCCATTAACTTGAGGTAATCTGTAGTGGGATGAAATTAAGTTGATTTAATATTAATGTTTTTCCGAAAATATGGGTTTCTATTCTATACATTGTGATTTAACGTTATGAGATAAATACCTGATTTTTTGTATGGTAACAGACAAAGGTTCACACTAACTCGGCACATTTTTAGTTTTCAATAATACGGTCATTAATAACTTTTGCAAGTGCTTAAAGTTGATGCTTCTTGTAGGACACGTATTTTCAATAGAAATTAAGAAATTAAAAAATGGCCTTCGACAGGCTTTAGAACAAACCATTATCTATCTGACTACAAAATTTCAAACCTCTCTTCCAAACATTAAACTCATGATATCTAGAACCGATAAGCATGTTTTTACTCTACGGCGCATGTACTACTGAATCCCCTTAATCTATCGGCATCTTTTGACTATGTACTGTTGATACATGCCGAGGCAGCTTTTATAAAAGATGTAACCGAGTGGACTAATTTGAAAATTCAAAACAAAAAGGCTAAAGTTTAAAAAATCACTAAATTTTTTAAACTCTTGCCTAAAGCTGACTATAACGATTAATTTTAATTGCGAATTTCTCAATAAATTAATTTATTTTGATACATATTGGTTTCATTTCGGAACCTTAGAACGTATCCCGTATGATTCCATACTAATTACCATTCCATATCCACGGTTTCTGTATTCGCGGCATATTTACGGAAGGTATACCCCGCGAATAAAGAGCTTTTACTGTAATATTAATTTCACATTGTATTTATCTTCATTCCCTGCAATTCTTTCTAGTGTCAAGGAGGCCGCTCCTTTCGTTTACATATGTATGTAAAAAACTAAAAAAACGCATTTTTGGGTCTTAATTGTTTATAACATATTAACAGTCATTGATTGAGAGTTAGATATATGTCAAAATAATACTCAGCATTGTACTTAAAGTGATCCCGCAGTTAGTTTCTAGTTGAAATTAAAAAATTCTATTGACTGACCTATAAGACCAATTTTATTGATCTTGATATTATGGATTTACTGTGAAACAGAGTACATACACTATTTATTTTTATTAAGTATGAGTACCTATATTTTCTTGCTTTCTACGGTTTGAAGTTTTATTGAAATGGTTTGCATTTTCGCCCGAATCGGTATATTTTTACGAGCGTATCGGAAATTTTAAACACCGACAAAATTAGGTCTAGAAGGCGACTATGACTGCAATATATCCGATGTAAACGACTCAAATTATTGATCAAGAACGTAATTATAGCAGGGACGGCAGTTTATAGAATACTCGGAGGCTTTTGCTTGTACGCTGTCTATGCTGCGTCCATATAGGAGCGCTCTTGTATTAACCATAATTTAATCATCAATTATTCAAATTATAACTTGTGTAATATATGCATGTATCCTGTAAGTTTTAAACTTGTACGGCTTTTATCATTTTTATAACCAATACTGCTACACATGCGACCGATCCTATTCTCACTAACAAGGGGAGTGCACGACCTTGGGGAAACGGATTTCAATGATTTTCCGTGTAGCGGTAGTATACTATGTGGGTAATACCACTGTAGAATATTTCCGTCCAATGCCCAATAGAAGCTGAGAAAAATGCCTCTAAAGTTCACCCCGCACTTTATATAGAAGTTATGTTTAATCTAGTCTGAACGTACTGTGGCGTAGCCGGTAAGGCTCTAGACTCGTACTCCCGCGTACACAGGTTCGAGTCTAGCTAGCTGACTTTTTTTTCTCTGTTTTTTTTTCCTTATTTTTCATTATATTAAACATAAATATTTTATAAATATATTTAAATTCAAAATTATGAGCTACTACAGAATAAAACGCAAATTCTCATGAATATTTCAAATTTATTAATACAATTATTAATACATTACTTTATAATTGAAAAGCATGTTAACAATCAGGTGTACATGATCCTGAATGATAATTATGATAAAAACATTCGAAACAAACATTCTTTCTGCACCAAGAACGACAAATAAATGCTGTTTTGTTACAATTACAATGAGTTTTCAAAAGGTCCAATGAAAAACACGCTTGGTTTACATTTGTAAAAAATTTTTTTGTATCACAAAGTCCACTAGCAAACCAGGCATATTGTATCATTTGATGAAATATTGGCGCTGATAATTGGTGATGAACAATTGAATGGATTTTTAAGCAATCTTCTCGAGAATGAATTTCATAATTTTTGTCTAGCAGATCAGCTGTGCTCTGTAATCTTTTGATAAAATTTTTGACTTGTCTATAGAAATAAACATCGCATGGTTGAACTAAGGGAGTACATTTTGGAGGTATAATTTTAGTTGTACATGTAGGCATTTTCTCTTCATCTTGGAATATTTCATCGTATAATTCTGCTCTTGTTTGTCCTGTCCATGAATCGACTAATAAAAGAAACTTATTCTTCTGAACATATGGCATCAAAGATTTCACCAGAAATTTTTTATAGAGGATAGTGGTCAGTTTTCCTGATTTCGATGATGTGACAACAACATTCCTATATTTTTTTACATATTCCTCCACATGTTGCTTAATTCTTGGCCCGAAATCACCTGTAGGTTCTTGCAAACAAATGAAAACTTGTGGTAGTAATTTTCCAGACAATGTGATGCTATATTGTGCAGTATATGTGTGTGACAACTTATTCATATCCTGTACATTAGCAAAAACTGTCTTACTTCCTTTATCTGTCAGTGTTCTATTGAAATGTGATTGATATTGACATCCTGGAAATAAGTCTTACGATTTATTCTTATTCAATTTAATAATGAAATAGATAGTAATTAGTTTACAAAGGAAAAATTTATATACCTGTTTGATCCGTATTGATAATGAAGTCACTATTAAAGTTGGATATTAATTGTTTTGTTTGAAGACGAAAGGTTTCTGCAGAGGCCAAAATTGTTTCAATGCTATATGTTTCTTTCTCTGACACAAATCTAGTAATTTTCCGTTGACAAATATTGTGTCTTTGTTTGAATTTCGCTACCCACCGGTTCGATGCTTTAAATTGAAGATCAGGAAACTGACTAGCGGCAGCTAAGGCCCATTGCTGCAGATTTCGTGTTGTCACTTGTTTATAATTTCTTCTCATCTCAACAAAGCGGTCATATGTCCAAGAATCGATCACATGAAATTTATCAAATTTTGTTCCACCCTGTTCCACGTCTTTTTCCCATACTTTTAAATGATCCATTCTTTTTAAATGACCACATCCATGTTTTTGTAATGTGTCTAGTTTCCATGTAGGGTGGGCTTTTGCTACATTTAAAACTTTGATTTTATATTCCAGGGTAATAAAATCCGACTTTTTAAATTTTTTTTCATCTGGGACATAGTCATCATGTGAGTCATCTGCAATTGCTTCGAAATTACCTTCTATGCACTCTTCTTGAGCATGAATCAATTCTTCATCACTTATAAACTTCTTTTCACTCAACACATCTAATGTACTATTGTATAACTCTCTACCTATCAACATAGCATCTTCAGATAGTGTATCAGAAGAACTTTCCATAATTAAATCATTTTCGAGAAGTAAGTTTTCATAATACACTACTCCATCTTTTAGCCGTTGCTTCGAAAAATCACTGTGTAAGGAGCTATCAGGAATTTCTTCGACACTGTGTGAACCACTTGCTTCGCTTGATGCCATTGTAAAAATTGTAAAATAATTTTTCGGAGTCAATTTTGCTGCACAAATACGTCTGTTCGTGATAAAATTCAGAAATGAACTGTTGAACAGAGGTGGAATAGATGCGTAGTTCACATTGTAACGGTTAGTGAATAAGATTTAAAGTACTCTTATTATCCCTTTTTTTCTCACTTCAAAGTTTCTACAGTTCATATAGCTCATATATTCCAAGATGAAGAGAAAATGCCTACATGTACAACTAAAATTATACCTCCAAAATGTACTCCCTTAGTTCAACCATGCGATGTTTATTTCTATAGACAAGTCAAAAATTTTATCAAAAGATTACAGAGCACAGCTGATCTGCTAGACAAAAATTATGAAATTCATTCTCGAGAAGATTGCTTAAAAATCCATTCAATTGTTCATCACCAATTATCAGCGCCAATATTTCATCAAATGATACAATATGCCTGGTTTGCTAGTGGACTTTGTGATACAAAAAAATTTTTTACAAATGTAAACCAAGCGTGTTTTTCATTGGACCTTTTGAAAACTCATTGTAATTGTAACAAAACAGCATTTATTTGTTGTTCTTGGTGCAGAAAGAATGTTTGTTTCGAATGTTTTTATCATAATTATCATTCAGGATCATGTACACCTGATTGTTAACATGCTTTTCAATTATAAAGTAATGTATTAATAATTGTATTAATAAATTTGAAATATTCATGAGAATTTGCGTTTTAATCTGTAGTAGCTCATAATTTTGAATTTAAATATATTGCATATTGTATCATTTGATGAAAT